ATGAACTAATCATTCATAAAACTAAATCAAACCTGTTGTTTCATATATAGTGCCTTTGAAATCCGAAGTTTTCATTCAAAACTGACCACATAAAACCTGTAGCTTTCATGCTTAAATTAAACATATACATGTCTATAGAACCCGAATGTTCTATGATGTATGTCTATGATTTTCCATATGACTAACCACATTTTTGTACCCTCTGTTTTAGGGACATATCGAACTTAAACAAGCTTGATTTCACTGATGTTGAACTTAAAGCTCCATCTCACCGCAAATGGTATTAGAGCCACCATTAAGGAACTCGTTAATGAAGCTGACAAAGCTACTGCTATGATCTTCATTTGAAGACACATCCATAATGCACGACAGACCGAGTACCTTGCTGAAGAGGATCCACGCACCATCTGGCTTGCTCTGGCCTATCATTTCGATCACCAGAAATATATTTACTTACCTGAAGCAAGACACAACTGTCATCATTTACGTTTCCAAGACTTTAAGTCCGTGAATGAATACAACTCTGAAGTTTGTAGAATCCGATCACTACTTAAGCTCTGTAAAGTGGACTTAACAGATGAGGTTCTCCTAGAGAATACCTATTCGACCTTCAATGCTACCAATATTCTCTTGCAGTAATAATATAGGGCATAGAAGTTCACCAAAATTTCAGATTTGATCTTTGTTTTACTTATCGCTGAAAAGCATAACCAACTTTTCATGAAGAATCATCAAGCCTGACCTACTAGCTCGAACATTTCGCTTGAAGTGCATGCGACTAATTCTAGCAGCCATAAACGACGAAAACACCATCGTGGCCGTGGTAATAGGCGGAAAGCCCACCCACGGGTCCAAGGTCCACTATGCCATGGCCCACCCAAAAGAAGCAATTTGACCCATAAATGCCAAACCCTTACCCTTAAGGCCCCAAACTTCAAGAACAAGGGAAAATCTACCGTTCAATCGGCTTCCACTGAACTAGACATGTGCTACTACTGTGGATCAAATGATCATTGGTCACCCATATGTCGAGCTACGCCCAAAGACATTGCCAAGTATCATTCCTGTTGTGAGTCTAACTTTGCCCATGTGGAACATCCCGAAGATACTACTACATCCATAGAGATATCAGATTTTCATGAGGCATCCGCTCCTATGGAAGAATAAAGTTTTATTTTTCTAGACATGTCTTTAAGGTGTTTTTACCCCTAGTGGCTGAACCACTAGGAGTGGCCGAACCCCCCAATTTTTTTATTGGACAATTTTTCTAGGTCTTTGGAATCATTTGTTTGGTTTGGTTTGTTTTGAATTATGGATATCATTTCTCGATTGATTAATTGAATGAATGGAATTATATTTATGCATGTGACCAATTCAATTAATTTATTCCTAGGTATGACTAGTGGGGAAGTTAGTTGTCTGGATAATAGTGCTACCACACACACTATATTGCGTGAACGACACTATTTTACTAATTTCGTACCTAAAAATGCACATTTGACAACCCTCTCAAGCTTATCCAACCTGATGGAAGGATACGGAAAGGCTTGTATAATGTTGTCCATTGGTATTGTCTTAACTATTAAAGAGGCTCTCTATTCTCCACGTTCCGGAAGAATGTTGCTGAGCTTTAGAGATATTCGAGATAATCAATATCATGTTGAAACTACTGAAGATAATGGTTTTGAATTTCTTTGTATCATTTCTTATGAGTATGGCAAAAAACGTATTCATGAAAAGTTGGAACGTCTCACGAGTGGGTTGTACATTACAACCATTTGCGACATAGAAGCCCACTCTGTGACCGACCCTATGCATGTGTTCTAGAACACTTTGCTGCTTTGGCATGACTATATGGGACATCCTAGACGTGACATGATGCGTCGTATCTTCAAATTATCACATGGGCATCATTTACCTCCCTACGTTGGATTTCTACCTTGCTAGGCTTGTTCTTTGGGGAAGTTGAATACTTAACCCTCAATTACAAAGATTATTCACAGCCCTCCTAAGTTTCTTCAGAGGATTCAATAGGATATTTGTGGACCTATCTGACCAACATGCGGACCATTTAGATACTTTATGGTGTTAGTTGATGCATCGACACGTTGGTCACATGTATGTTTATTGTCCACACGCAACGCTACGTTGGTCACATGTATGTTTATTGTCACATGTATGAAATTTACATAACACATAAATTTGGTCATTGAGATTGAAAATCAATATAAATGGTCCCTGAGATTATCCACCATCCATTATTTTGGTCATTCCGTTAAAAACTCCGTTAAGTGGTCCCGGAGCTCATACCGGAAACAGAGATTTTTGACCGAAAGTTTAGGCAATTTTCAAAGATTCATAACTCAATCGTTTCTTAACCAAATTCGACCCATAATATATCAAAATGAAGATATGGCCTGAACAAGATTATACCTATTTAGAAGCCTAATAGTTGTAGGAGATGGCCTGAAAATAGCCTGAAATGTGACTGATCTGAGAAAAAACTGGAAAACTCGTCTGAAACTGGGTAAACTTTAAACGTTCATAACTTCTTTAATACTCAATGAAATCAAGTGATTCAAAGATGAAAATCATACTTCTCAATGAGACGAAGAAAATGGTAGCTTTCTCGACGCTAAATCACAGTGGTTTTTCCAAAAAATTGTTCGAAAGTGGTTATCTTTGTCTCGTTGAGTTAGCCACTTTCGAGCCGTTTTCTTGCCAAACCACGGCAAACAGTCACAAGTTCATACTTTCTTTTTTACTAGTAATTTTTTACTATAATAAGTCAAGATCAGAGCAGGCACAATGACATGGGTCGTGTCTGGTGCTATCGTAGATAAGAGAAAGGTTAGATTTGCATTTAGGAAGGATGTTTCTCTTTAACTAGAAATATCTTAAGATAAGAAAGCGTAAAAAAGAAATGTTTTAGCCGTTGAAAAATGTATTATTTTCTTCGTCTCGTTGAGAAGTATGATTTTTAGTTGAATCACTCGATTTCATTGAGTATTGAATAAGTTATGAATGTTTAAAATTTACCCAGTTTCCGGCGAATTTCCCAGTTTTCCCTCGGACTAGTCACATTTCAGGCTATTTTCCGACCATCTGCAGCAACCATTGGCCTTCCAAATATGTATAATCTTGTTCTACACTTTCTTATCTTCATTATGATATATTATGAGTCGAATTTGGTTAAAAAACGATTGAGTTACGAAGCTTTGAAAATTGCCCAAACATCTGGCAAAAAATTTCAGTTTCTGATACGAGCTTCGAGACCACTTAACGGAGTTTTTTAATGAAATGACAAAAATAATAGATGGTGGACAATCTCAGGGACCATTTCTATTGATTTTCAATCTCAGAGACCAAAGTTATGTGTCATGCAAATTTCATGGATCATTTTGGCTAAAAAGCCTAAAATATTTAATTGGGTAAATTTCAGTTTACTACCCTTAGTTTAGTAGTTTTCAACATTTAATACATAAGTACTTTTTGTTTCAGAGTCATACCGAAATTGTTAATTTTGGAACAGTCTTATACATTCATTAATCTGGCTATTAAATCTTCCGTTAACTGATGATGTGGCGCTCATGTGGACAATAACTAGGCGCCGGTGTCATTAAGAGGTCCACGTGAAAATTTAAAAATAAAAAAAAATTTCTCTCCCAAATTTAAAATATTAAAAAAATTAAAAAAATTAAAAAAAAACCCAAAACCCCCTTCGTCTTCCCCCAGCCGACACTCCTCCCACCCACCAACACCCTTCCCCTTCCCTGATACCCACCCCTACCACCAAGCCTTTTCTCCTTCCCCAAAAACCCAGCCCCTTCCCTTCCCCCAAAACCCCAAAATTCCATCCTTCCGTTTTCTCCTCTGCGACAAACAGCAAAAAAACCACAAATGTTCGCAAGGCTTTCACTTCCGGGAAGCCCGAGACGCCGCTCCAGCACCTCTACCACTTCGCCGGATCCAAGAAGTCCAAAATCGAGGAGGTCTGCAAGGTCCACTACCAAGATTTTATCCTCGCCGTCGACGGACTCCGATCTGTTCTCTCCGACGTCGATTCTCTCAAGTCTTCTCTGTCCGATTCCAACACCAAGCTCCAGTCTGTCGACCTCCCTCTTCTATCCTCCCTCGACGCCTTCGTTGAAGCCTAAAACAGATCCCGCAATGTCAACCTCGCGCTCGAATCGGTCCGAAAGTGTATTCGGATACAAAAGCGGAGGTTCACAGTTTATTTTAGCCTAGTATTGAAGTACACCAATCACAGGTTCACAGTTTCTTTCTCTAGACCAGCAATGGCACCAGTGGCAGTGAACGAACTGAAACTCGGTATGACGTCGCAGGCCTACTTGGAAGGCAAAGCAGTGAGCGACACCAAGGTTCTGATATCCGACCTCTGCCGCCAGTTCTACAATCTCGGATAGGTCTCAGGGACCTGCAGCAGCATCACAATCAAAGTGCACAACGAATGTATTCCTAAGCCCGAGCAGCTCGTAGTCATGTCCCTATCTGGTATCTCTCTCTTTCTCTCTATGTAATCGTTTAGTTTCACTTTTGAGTTTTTGGGGTTTCTGGGTATTCATGGATTTTGCTCAATTTGCTAAAGTTTGTGTTTTGTTTGTTCTTTTGGTTGTTTGCTTTCTGGGTTTATGTAATTTCTGCTAAATGTTGAATCTTTTGGCTCTTCTATGTTGCTTAGTATATAGATTAATTGTGGGGTTTGTTTTGTGTTGATTAGTTAGTGTTTTTTTAGTATGAGCTCGACAGGTTGGCTGTTTGATTAGTGAGACTTATTTTTGGAGGAAGGGAAGGGGCTGAGTTTTTGGGGAAGGAGAAAAAGCTTGGTGTTAGGGGTGGGTATCAGGGAAAGGGAAGGGTGTCGGTGGGTGGAGGGGATGGAGGGGTGGAGACATGGAGGTGTGGAGGGGATGGAGTTGTGTCGGGCGGGGAAGACGTTGGGGTTCGGGTTTTTTATTTATTTATTTATTTATTTTAATATTTTTTAGAGAGAATTTTTTTTTTGAATTTTTAATTTCCAAGTGAATCCTTAATGACAGGTGTCGTTCAGTTATTATCTACATGAGCATCCTCAGTTAATTGGAGACTTAACAATTAAACTAACAGATGTATGAGACTGTCCCAAAATTAACACTTTACGTATGACGCTGGACGAAAAAAACTTCATGGACTAAATGTTAAAAAACACGAAACTTGAAGGTAGTAAACTGAGATTTATCCTATTTAATTTATCAGCTTATTTGGTTTTTTTTTTTCCTCTTTAACTTGCATACTGTAACATTATGCCCGAGGGTTTTAGGATACAGGACAACACTCATTGTTGACATTATTATGTGAATAATATTTATATTTACGGAGATATTTGATTTTTTTTTTTCTCTTGTTCTCATATGAAATTTGCTGTCACGTGTTTTAATAATTTTGTACAAGTAGTCCTGATACCGATGGTAATAAAGAAGGGGAAATTTGAAAAAATAATGAAAATTTAGATCCCACATAAAATTATAGCAATAGGTATAAACTTCTAATAATTATAACAAAAAGTTAATATGAAAGAATTAATATACTTTCAAAATGAGGTTTTCCTAAAAAAACTAAATTTGTAACACAAAAATCAAAATTTACATTTCAAAAGAATTAAAAGCGATTCTTTTGTTCCCAAAATTCTTAAAAATTGAATTCTTTCATCCCAAAATTAAAAAATTTACATACCTATTAACTATTAGCTAAGATGATGATTGTCAAAACCAGAATGTGACTTCTTAATGAACACGCATGGACATAATTAGTTGTTCACATAACCTTTATCAAATACTCACTCAGATGGTTATTTCACATTCGTCATAATTGCTTCAATCATAGAGTGAACGCCTCAATCTAATTGAGAGGTTGTGGGACCATGATTTTCCATAGCAGAGTAAGGTGGCTCAGAATACGCATACCTCAAAAGTCTAGTCATGGACTTAACAGCCTCCAGTACGGAGTTGAATAAATAAATCAACGATGCCACCATCATCCTATTCTGGAATCAGCGGGCAAAGTCCAACGATTTCACTAAGATTGATCATGCTTGTTCCGCAAGATACGAAAACTTAATCTTGCAAGGAATCATGTTTCCCAATCTTGGAGTCCTTACCATCTAAGGATTGGTGTGCCTCGCAAGTAATCACACTATGCAATATCTACTTCCTAGCTAGATATCCTTTTGAATCTCCAAGTTTAATAAGGATTCTATTCTAAAAGGTCCTCTTCTCGACTGGTATAAATATACCCTTCTAGAGTTTGGTTTTAGTAACGCAATTCCTACACTGTTATTCTTTTGCCAATTGCTTGAATCTTAATATTGCATGCTACTTTGAGTCTTAAAATTTTATAGATCATTCATAACCTTAGCTGGACCGTAATTGAAGTGTCAGATATGTATTTACAAAAGTTTTGCAACTCATTCCTACTTGGGCTTTTTGTTCCTGTACTATATGTTATTAGTGTTAGAAGTGATTCCCCATTGGTTTTGTACACATTGATCATCTTCCTTTTAAATCTTTGATGAGTCTGCCAAGTATTTCCTTGATTTTTATCGGAGCTTCCGCTAGAACCTTCACTGTCAAAGACCTAAGTGGAGGCAAATGAGTATGGCTGATTATCCCAGGCTTTGACTGTTGCTGCTATGTTATCTGCAGAAACCACATTGCTTCCTGGTCGAAGGTAAGCTTGTTAAATTTTTCCCAGAAGTTGGTGCCCTGCCCTTATGTATGTTGTGAAAGTTAATAGCATGCGTTGTGTTCTAAGAATCTGAAAAATACTCAAATATCATACGTCGAACTAAATGCACACGCATCTGCACACAAACGTTACCACACATATGGTTAAAGTTGCGTACCTCTAAACATTAGAAAGATATTTGTGGACCTCTGCACTTTCCACGAGGCACTTGAGGTATGAATATTTCGTTTGAGATGATTATTGTTGAGTATGCCTCCTTTTGCAGCAAGAGCAAGGAGAAGAAGAGGAAGCATGAATATTTGGACCTTCCTGATGGTTCTGGCTGGGGTGATCATATCCAGTTGCTTCAGATATATGAGTGTTGGCATCAAACTGACCATGACATTGATTGGTGCAAGGATTATCGCTGTAGGTACCTTTTTAATATTCTGTATAAGAAAAACCTGATATATTCAGGGCATTGGTGACATGATTCTAGAATTTGTTTGTTATGTTTCTGGAACTCATTGATTGTAGGTGAGAGGGATGAAGTTTGTCGAGGATGTAAGGAAACAGCTATCTAAAATCATGCAGAAAATAGCAAAAGGCGAGTAAGCTACTGTTGGGGAAAAACTTAGAGTACACAACTCTAACACAAGTGTTGAAGAGACAATACAAGTAAACAAATTACTTGTATTACACTTACAAAAGATTACAACACAAAAACTCTCAAGGACGCTCTTTAGAAGTTATGACACTCACTCTTTCTAGAGACACACTGTAGACCACTCACATTCTTCACAAGACTACTCACTTACAAGGCTTCTCACTCTCTTATTTAGCTATCTTCTTAGCTACTTTCTTGATTTGTTGATTCAACATCACACCCATATTTATAGGTGAGGGCTTGGCATTCTACTAGTTTCTAGTTCTTTCTACAAACTAGAACTAGTTTCTAGTATATTCTACAAACCTCTAGCTTAGATAATTCTAGACTAGCCATCCTACTTTGCATGCTAGAATCTTCTAGAATAATTCCATGCATGTTTGAACTAGAACAATCTAGTTCATTTGTACCGACTGATCTTAATGGGCTGGTGTTGATCTTTAACACTCCCCCTCAACACCAGCTCATTCTTTTCTTCTCGCAGAGTCAACGCTTTATCTTGAACACCCATTTGCATGATATGGGTTTCACATATCTTGGCCTTGCCACTGGATCCCAGGTTTGATGTTTCTTTAACACATCGACCTCTTCTCCTAGCTTTACGCCACTAAGAATTTTGTGATGCTTCTTTACGCATCTCAACTTCAACTGCTTCTTCTACTATGGCTGCGTTGGCGTATTTGGGATTTGGCTTCAGTATTCTTGTTGACCTCCTTAGTTGTGATCGTGGAATTGATACTTCCACTTCACTAGGTCTAACTTCTCCTGGTTGTTGATACACACTAGTTTTCCAAGGAATCTCACTCCTCCAATTTCATGAATTGCATTTCTTGTTTCGGGTGGGGTCCACCACACCATTGATTCCCTCGTATTTAGTAAACGTTGGAGTAATCCATAATCGGAATTCAATTCCCCTTTTTTATTCCCATTACCCTTATGTAAACGCGCCCTAGGAGAGATAGATTTACTTGCGTTGGTCGACTTTATTTTTATTAAAAATTGGTACAAATTATAGTACAAATATGTAGCACATTATTCTTTAACAAGACATAAGGCCCGTTTAAGTATTAACGGATCATGATATATGATGATTTTTTTTTATATAACGATATATATTTAACGAGAGGGGATAATTTAATCAACACAAATATTCAATAAACATTACACTTACACAAATATTAAAATCAAATTTCACACTTGACCAAATAAGCATAGCAATTCATACATAGAGTTCAAAAATATTACAATTACATGCCATTGAATAAATATAACAAGTCTTACATGGAGAGATCCAAATTATTAAAATTACACGCCCTGAATAAATATGACAAGTGTTGCATGGAGAGATACGAATATAAAAACGTAACTAGTAGGAAAAGACGACTATTGCTCTAATACATTCAAAAGAAGAGGAATGGACCATGCATTTTGCTGATAACTAGCTCTCTCTCTCCCCATCGTTCTACTGATCTGAAAATAACAATGGAAGTGAAAATAATTAAAAATAATTATTAATAAGATACTCAGACAAAAAACAAAAGATATAAGCAACTTAACAAACATTGGTTTAGTTGTAGTTTGCCTAATTTTTTGTTGCCAATTGTCACATTTGTAATTTTTTAGTGTATTTTGTATTTGAGCAACATCAACAACTCAAATATTATATATACGCAAATCATAGTTTAGTAAAATATGGAACACGTGTGGTGTATAGGTGTTATTTGAGAGTTTTTTTTTTTTTAAATGTGTATACACGTAAAATATCTGTATTAATAATTTTGAGGCCAGAAATATACTCTCAAAAAATATAAACATGAATTAATTAAAACGATTTTTCTATAAAGTAACTATAAGAAGAAAGCACCAATCACTTGGGTTTTAAACTAACTATTGAGTTAAAGCCTAAAAAGCTTAATATGTCCCAACACACATAAATCAAGAAATGGTAATTCTGAGAAAAAAAAATTATAAGAAAAAAGCAAAAAAGTATGAAGAGACTTTAAATACCCAAATTTTAATAGTTTTTGTGACATGGTTCCAAAACAAAACACAGATGTTAGCTATGACATGAGTCGTGCGGTCCCAGTTGTGAGATATGACGTGGATCATGCGGATCCAGTTGTAAGATAGGACATGGATAGCGCGGTCTCGGACGTTTCGAAATCTTAGGTTAAGCGACAATAGGACCACCATAAGAGGATTGAAGGAATAAAGCATTGGATTATAAAATTGGGGTGCGAGGATGCCATGCAACGCAAGCTAGTAGGTAGCCCACACTAGGCCAAGCCCTACCCAGATAACAAAGCGGTGTAGAAGTTGGGCGGAGAGAACAAAAAGTCCGAACCAAACAACAAACAGCGCTGCCGTGGTCACGACAGAGAAAATGTAGACAGATCGACAACTAGACAGATCGACGGAGGGAGGTTTGACAAAGTAGGTTGGATCCACTCCAAGGGGAAACAGAATGGTAGCTAAGGCCAAGAGGATGGTCAGGTGTGTTTGCGGATTTGGAGGTGAATTTGAAGGAGGGTTTTGATTTTCATTGTCCGCCATAGTGGTGGTCAGCTGGGAGAAGAAAGGGAGAAATAAGAAACGAGAGCTGAGTTGGCGGAAGTGGTGTAGAGAGAGGCAGATAAGAAGGTAGCGTGAGAGAGTGAGTTATGACTCACTACAAAGCATAAGGAGCTGCATTTTGTGTGTGAAGTTGGGATAAATGGCTGAGCTGCGGGTGAGATGGATCAAGCTTTTATCATATTTTAGTGTTATTTGAGAAAAAAACCAGGGTTTAATAAAGAGTAAAGATCCAAAAATCAAAGATCTTTACGACATAGGGCTCCACAAAGACAAATCTAAGAACAACATCAGCCAATTTTCCTTCAAAAATTCACAAACCAACAATCCAAACAAACATCAGCAACATTTTTTAGATGATCAAAAAACACAAAAACAAAAATAAAGATTGATTAAACAATTATATGAAAATCCAAACGGGAGCTTTCTCGATCGATCTGCATAATTCACCTGTTGAACCACCTCCGAGTGGCTTCTCCGTGGTTTACAAGAGTGCGAATGTAATATATAAAATAAATTTACAAATTTGCAGAGGGTAATGATTCCGAACTCAATCATTCAATCACAAATTAAACAAATTAACTAGATTGGGGACAAAATCGATGAAATTGATACAGCGAGAGCACCGTTTTCGAACCTGAACATCTCTTGAATCAGGCATCGCGGCGGTGACCCACCTGAAAATGATGAACGGATTGCTGCAAATCCTTGGATAAATCGCTTGCGGTTGCAGACATTCGAGCGTTCAAAGAAGAAATCATGGAGAAGGCGAAGAATTAAAGGGAGCTGAAGGCTTTGAAGTCGCGCTCGCGTTCGCCATCGGTTTCATTGGAATTTGGGAGAGGATTTAGTAGAACAGTCCTTTTTTAGTGCAGAGTTATCTGTTCGCCGGAATTTGGAGATTGTGGTGGTGGGATGGGAGTGTGGCTTTTCTTTTCTGGGTTTGAATTGCGGCAGTTTGGGGAAGGAGATGGCAGCGTGAGGTTGATAACGGAGAGACTTGACAGTGTTAGTTGGTGAAATTTTTATTTATCACCTAACACGGATTATACATTACGTGTTTATACGTAAGTGATGAAAATTTTTATTTTTTAAGTTATTAACTTTGTGAGGTTGATAACGGAGAGACTTGACAGTGTCCAGTTGGTGAAATTTTTAGTTACGACAGAACACGGATCATACATTACGTGTTTATATGTAAGTGGTGGAAAATTTTATTTTTTAAGTTATTAACTTTTTAACGTACATAATCCATCATTTATATAACGATATGTGATATACTATCTCATGTGATTTCTTGTCTAGTTGGATCAAGTGAGTAAACAAGTGTCACCAGATTAGAATGGCCAATTTTTTTTTTTAGGTGCAGCAGATTTGAATACTCAAGGACGATTAAGTACGAGCGGATTATAATATGTGATGATTTTTTTCATAGAACCATATTCTATATTTAACAAAAATGGAATAATTTATCGTAACATAAACATTCAGTAAACATTACACTTAACACAAATATTAAAAACAAAATTACACACTTGACCGAACAAACATGGCAGCTCATACATAGAGATCACAAATATTAAAATTACACACCACGGACAAAATATAACAAGTCTTATGTGGAGAGATCCAAAATATTAAAATTACACACCAATAAAACATAACAAGTCTTGCATGGAGATATAAATATAAAAAAGTAGTTAGTCGGAAAAGACGACTCTTGTTCTAATACATTCAAAACCAGAGGAGGGGACCAGGCATTTTGCGGATAACTAGCTCTCTCTCCATCTTTCTACTGATCTGAAAATAACATTGGAAGAGAAAATAATTAAAAATAATTATTAATAAGATACTCATACGAAAAACAAAAGAAAGAGGTAACTAAAAACATTGGTTTAGGTTTGTTAATTTTTTGTTGCCAATTGTGGCATTTGCAATTTTTTCAGTGTATTTTGTATTTGAGCAACATCAACCGCTCCTATATTATATATACGCAAATCATAGTAAAATATGGAATACGTGTGGTGTACAGGTATTATTCGGTTTTTTTTTTTAAATTTGTATACATGTATAATATTTGTATAAATAATTTTGAGGCCAGAGATATACTCTAAAAAAGATGAACATGAATTAATTAAAAGGAAAACTAATGAAAATAGCTTGAATACTTTGAGTTTTAACGATAAGTACAAAATAAAAGGTAAAGTGAATAGTACCATGATTGACTTTTTACAGTGAAAATATGGTTTTTTGTTAAAGTGAACAGTACCGGGAGTTTTCATTAAAGTTCCCATTAATTAAAATGATTTTTTCTATAAAATAATTATAAGAAGAAAGCATAAATCACTAAGGTTTTATACTTGGGTTAAAACGTAAAATTTAGGTTTTAAACTAACCCAATCCTTGTTGGGTCTAAAATAAATTTTGGGTTGAAACCTAAAATTTGGATAATTTTAAAATTTTAAATACAATAAATCCAATGGCTGAGATAAAAAACGATCAAATCTAAAGGTAAAAAAAATCCAACTGCTAAAACAATTGAAAAAAAAAATATTTGAATCAAAATTCACCAAAAAACTCTATAATACATGTTTTATATGATCCGTTTAGTGAATTTTTAACTTTTCTCAGAATCTAAATATTTGTAGGTTTAAATTTTTACAAAAATAAATTATGATAATCTACATAAATTTTATATTAAAAAAATTACCAAAAAAAAAGCCTAAATTCATTCTTTAATAATGTCGGGCTAAAATTTTAACCAAAAAAAAAATTTATAGGTTAAAATCTAAATTTTTGGGTCACCCGGTACTACGGTCTGGTAATATTCCTCTTCACTTGGAAGTGAGAAGTCTTAGATTCGAATCTCGTGGATAACAAATTCGATACTAAATTCAGCTGCTCATTGTGTGGCTTAGCCGAACTTCTTCTCATTTTAGTGTAAAAATATCGATGTACTAAAAACAAAATCTAAATTTTTAGAGTTAAATTTTTTAAATTTTAACCCAAGAGTTCGTGATGATTCTTCTAGAAAAGGTTAACATGTTCCACACACATAAATTAAGAAATGGTATAAGAAAAAAAAGCAAAAAAGTATGAACAGACTTTAATACCCAAATTTTAGTAGTTTCCTGTGATATAGTTCCAAAATAGAATGTAGATGCCAGCTATGACATGTATCGCGCAGTCCCAGTTGTCAGATATGACACGGATAACCCGATCCCAGATGTCAGATATGACATGGATCGCGCGGTCCCAGACATTTCGAAATCTTAGGTTCAGCAACAATAGGACCGCCAGAAGAGGATTGAAGGAATAAAGCATTGGATTGTAAAATTGGGATGCAAGGATGCCACGCAGGGCGAGCCAATAGGTAACCCACACTAAGCCAAGCCCCAACCAGATAACGAAGCGGTATATAAGTTGGGCGGAGAGGACAAAAAGTCCAAACCAAACAACAGACAGTGATGCTGTGGTCATGACAGAGAAAATGTAGAAAGGGGGAGGGCATGG